TTACTAAGACATGTATGCCAGTGACAATGGACGCAGCTCAGTGAATGGCGGGATTTTCCATTTCCCCCCCTCGGCTGGCCAGAGATACTCCCTCTGAGATACCTCTTTATACCCTGATAAAAGCAAGTTACGTACTGCCTCTGACATACTTAGTTACTGCTCCTACTGCTAGTTATCACCCATCACCTTGTACATGTCCATCAAAACATCTCTATTACGAACTGTCATCCTGACCTTATCTTTTAGAAGGGGTCAGTGTGTTCCTGTTATCCTTGGGGAATGTTATGTATCATCCTTAATATCGGGATGTTCTGGTACCACTTAATATCAAGATGTGTTTGCATGAGTACTCTGGGCTTAGCACTTCTTAGAAATGTGTATTTCTGCAATATTCAGCCCTGTTCTTGCCAGATTCTGAGAGCGGGTCCTGCCTTATACCAGGCCTCTGTGGCTTATGTCTCAGGCTCTCTTCCTACTACAACCTTCAACGAGCCATGTAGATTTCCTCTGCTGTAGTACCCCATATGTAAAACAGGGATAGTAGCAAGGGGGTATTGTGAGGATAAATGCATTTCAGATTGTGAGGCACTCAGACTGTCTGGTAATGGGGACCAGATAAGTGCCATAGATAGATAGTCTAGTGATTATGAGGGAATGGTTACTAGGAGCCTGGGACCACATGAATTTCTGAATAAGGTCCTGCTGAATGTGAGTTAAAGGTAACAGAATCTGGCTCAGCCTTTTCTCTCTTCAGGAGATTTTAAACAAACACCTGAACCACACACCCCACCCACAGCCTTTCTGGATGCAATAGGACATATTTCTGTCTCAAGTGTTGTGGCTGGCTTTAATGTCCATAAAAGTTTGTAATCTCATGAGTAGTGTGGCTATGTAGTCTGGAAAGTAGTCTTGTTCTGTACATTGTTGATCTTCTTCAGCCAGTCAGAGGATAGAGTTCTGTGTGCTGCGCACAGTCTCCAAAACAGTTCCTGATGCTGCTGTCATGCGAGCATGAGTGTCAAGGCATCACTTCATTTATGTCCTTCTGATGGGATCCATCAATTTTCCCCACCACCAATCACAGCCATCCAACACAGAAAAGTTTGGGGTTGGATGGCTCTGCGGATTGGGGATGAGACACGGAGCCTTACACCTGCAGGTTGTCTGTTGCAGTCTATCCCGAAGTTAATAGTAACTCATGAATGCCACCATCTGATAGACCAGTGAATGCCCATGTGAAATGAATTTGTGCTCTCTGTCCATTCCTACTGGGATTTATATTTGCATAGTTGAAATCACCAACATGAGCAGGACTAACTGGTATCACTTTTTAGCAAAAGAGCAATCGAGGATTAAATGAAAGGACCATGAAAACTGACTCCCCTCTGCCTTCCTAGAGGTGATTCCTCCAAACCAAAGGCTGAAGCTCTTAGCTCAGAATCCATATGTGTAGAAAGCTTGCACTCCTGCTACCCATGATGTATCTGTGCTGTGCATGAAGGATCAAATCCTCAGTCAATAGAATGACTTCAATTTACCACCATCGTTTCAGGGTCTCACTCAGAGATTCCAGCCACAAGACCTGTCAACCCAGCACCTTTCAGCAGCACCAATTCACTTAACATGAAGCAGCATATTTCCAGATGGAGGGTTTTTTATGGTGTGGGTTTTTTTTGTTTGCCTCCCCCACTTCAAGTATTCCCTCTAAGCAAAGGCTCCTTGTTTTTCAGCTCATCCACTTTGTGATGAAGAGTTTTAATATTCTGGAAGATTTGTGTCAATATGGCATTGTATTCTGCCACAGTATTACCTAAATAATTTTATATATAATCATAAATATTACCTAAATGCAGTTCTAATTCCTGGAGCTCACTTTCTCCCTTTCTCTTTTGTAACATTTCTTTCTTTTTCTCTTTTGTAAAATTGTAAAAGCACCTTTAAATTGAAGTTTCATTTGCATCTGTTTACTGTAATCACCACAGTTGGGTGGTGGGGTTGTCACCCTTTCACTTACATTGTCCATTTATCTATCTGCAATCTGAGACTCTCTAGATCTTGCCTTTAAATCTCTGGCTCTTAACTGCATTTCTCTGGGAAGCATTTTGTGATGCTGGGTATGAAGGATCTTCCATAAAAAGACACTCTTATTTATCATCAGAACAAAATTGGCTCATGGGTTTTTTATCTATCTATGTGCATTTATCAGCGTGCTATTTAGTAACTTCCCAAGAAAACAGGAGCAGGTAGTTCACCAAATTCAGCCTCCTCTCTCCCTCTCTGTCTCTTTTTTTTTCAACACTTCCCCCCACCCCTTTAACAATAAGGAGGGTGTTTGATATGAGTGCCTTGTTTTGTTTTTCAGGTACTGTTTATCTAAAGTAATGTAAAACCATAGAGGAAGAATGTGCCCTTGTTTTCTCCCAAATTCACTTTCACCTGACCTTTAACTATTTTTCAGTTGCAAGAGGCAAGATTACATTCTTACATTCTGCTTTTTGGGGTTTTTTTGCCCCCCCCCCCAAAAAAAAGTCACCATGACAAGGGAGAAAAAAGTAGAGGAAGCAGAATCTTGTGTTTAAATCACAAGACTGCAAGTCAGCAAAGCATGTTAAATTTGTCATAAACTTCTTGTTTACGGTTGGCCAAGTCCATTAGCTTATCTGTGTTTCATCTTACCCCTCTATAAAATGGAAATAATAATACAGTATATGATAAATAACCTCCTTACAGGCCTGGGGAGAGACCTAATTCGTTATGGGCCTATAAAAGGAGGATACCTTAAAAGCAGAGAGTATTATTATACTGCATGGAAAATTGTTGGCATGATCTGTGTTTCATGGATTCTATTTAGGTTAGCAATTCCTTGGGGACCAGGACTCTCTTTTCATTGTTTATATGCACAATGTCCAGCACTATGCAACCCTGATTCCTGCCTGAGCCTTGTAGGTGCTACTGCAACACAAGTAATGCGTACTCACTGCATTTAGAGTTGGTGAAGCCCTACTAGGTCATTGCAAACTCCTTCCTCGCCCCCTGTCAGTACCAGATGGTTCCCTATAGTATATTCCAGGTGCAGGCAGGTGCCCTGAGACAGCTGCTGCCCCCATCGCCCCAATCCCTTTTCTTGGGGGGTGTGCTTGGTGTATTCTTTCGGCTTGTACTAATGGCTGCTCATTTAAGGCACTCCCCAAAGCCCACCCATCAGTCTCCTCCTTCCACCCCTCCCTCCTCTTTCTTCTCTCCCTCACCCCGCAGTTCCAAACACAAGGCATTCCTTTGTATTCCCTTCCATTGCAGAGGGAGAAGGGAGCAGAGATAGCGCAAAGCTCTTTCCGATTGCTAGGAGTGGGTGGGCTTTGTTCAAACGCAAAACCACCCACCCAAGGAGCTGCCACTACCTGTAGTTTTAATCTCCCAGCCCCCCCCCCCCCCCAGCTCAAGGGCTGTGTGTGCTGGTGATGATCGTGACTGGGTGACTTCATTCCACCACCATGATCTGGTCTTCACACCCTTCGGGGCGGCGGGGAGGGAGGAGGGCTTCTCTTTGAAGAGGAGTGCGGAAGCGGGTTGGATGATGGTTTTGGTGCTAGATTTGGGGGAGCGGGAGCCCTGAGGGCAGGGTGCTGAGCTGATGGACGCGCGCACACACACACACACACACACACACACACACACACACACACACACGGCTTTGAGTGACTTGCTGCAGACAGCAGAGACCTGCCAAATGTTGCCAGCAGAGGGAAGGAGAGACACTCTTCCCAAGCTGATCTCTGCGGCGCGCTAGGGACTCGGATCCCTCCCTTTGGCCGCGGGACTGGTTCAGGGGCCGGGGGGGGAGGGGTGTTGTTATTATTATTCATTTTATTTTCTTGGCTGGCCGCTGCTGGCTTCCTCTGCTCTCCCATCCCCGCTCAGCTTCCCCCGCCCCAAGCAGCGCACCCTCCCGCCCTCCCCCCGCGCGCGTCCTCCTGCTCTTCCTGGGCTGCCCCCTGCGCAGAGAAGCGGCTGCCGCTGGGGGTGGCGGGTGGCAGGGGCGCCGCGATCGGAGCAGCGAGGGAGGGAGGCTGGGGCTGAGCCATGCCGGGGGGCGGCTGTTGGAACCAGGGATGGGGCGAGAGGCTGCCGCGGATCCCAGCATCTCCCCGCCGGGGGCCCAGGAAACAGAAGAGCCGCCGCCGCCGCTGCTGAGAGCCAGCAAAGGGGGGCGATGGGTGAGTGACAGACGCCCCCCGTCTCCTCCCCCCACTGCTAACCACCCCCGGCCTCCCGGTGCATCCCACCGCCTCTCCTTCTCATGCCCACCATCCTCCCCGCTCCTAGCTGCCCTCTCCTCTCCCCTTCCCCCAGCATCCGTCCTCCCGCTTTCGCTCTCCTCATCTGCCCTATCACCTTCTCCTACATCCCTCTCCTTCCCCATCCCGCCTTCCCCTCGTTCCCCTTCTGTCATCCCTTCCCTCCTGTACCCTCTTCCCTGCTCCCTCTCCTCTCCTCCCTCCTTTCACCCTTCCCCATCACCCTTCCCCTCTCCTCCTGACCGCTCCTGCATCCCCTTTGGCCCCCGCACCCACCCCCAATCTGCCCTCCCCCCCCCTTTGTGCGTATGTGTTGGCAGGAGGTGGGGGGAAAGTTTAAAGGGCTGATCTTGAAAAATGAGCAATTTAGAGCAGGGGGAAAGGGGCTGGGAAGTTGTTTGTTCACATGGGGGCTGGGAGGTTACAACTGGCCTAGTCTCTGTCCAAATTGGGCCAGCTCCTAGTTCCAGCATCCCTGCTCCCGCCTCACTACCTATGCAGGAGTCCCGGGGTGGAGGTGAGGGCTTTACAATCCCTCTTGCTCAGCTTTTAGTCTTTCATTTTCTTTCCCTTTATATGTGTGTCCTACAGCCCCTACCCCAAGAACAGCTGTAGCTTCTGCAAGGTGAAGGAGGAAATCGCAGGCCCCCCCTCCCCCAAAGCATCCATAGAAGCAAAGCAACCTGTGTCTGCAAGAATGTACAGTGAAAATGTCTTATATAGGCTGTCAGCGAGAAAGATGCTTCCCCCTCAAATACCCGATAATCCCACGCAACAAAGTGTCAGTGATGGGGAGACAGAAGAATATGTCACAACTCCCTTAGCCATCTCTCTGCCACCCCCACAAAACACAGCCACACCAAGTGAGGAGGGGAGCCTGCAGCCCAGGCACTGCAGCAGGAGGCCCATCTGCTGCCCGTGCTCTCTGTGCCAGGAGGGTACTGACTGTGCATGTGTGCCAGCCCTGCAGCATGCTCTAGGGAGGAAAAGGAGTATATGAGCGGGGGATGGGAAGGAATATAAAAAATAGATAATCAAACATCAACTCCCCTCAGTCCCCATGTCAGATTGATATAATCCCCTATCAAGGGCTGAGCACAAAGGGACGTGGGCTCTGAGTCCCTCCCCAATTCTATAGGGCTGCTGGTAATGCCTGGGGATTTGTTAGCTATAAATCTCTCTATATTTGTTGTAAAGCAGTGTATGTGTGTGTGTGCAATTTTACCATCGCGAGATCTGTTTCTCCACACAAGCTCGACAAAGGTGATGGGGGACAGAGTGTGTGCTGCAGCTGCAGACCTGCTGAGACGGCTCGCAGAGATGAGACAGAAAGAGGGGCAAAGCAGGAGGGATGGAGACAGTACTGAGCTCTGTCAGACTGTGTTTTTATCAAGGGGTTTCTGGTGACAACACTCGAGAGCAGAACTTGGGTCACCAGAAAGTCCTTCCACATCTCCCAGAGCAGAACTCAGGTTACCAGGATCTCACCCTTGGGAGCGGAGCTTGAGTCATTAGGAAAACTGACCCCAAAAAGAGCAAAGCTTTGGTCACTGAGACTCCCCTTCAGAGAATGGCACTCCGGTCACCAGCAAACCTCCGCACCAGAGCATGAATTCAAATCACCCCAAACACCCACTACTACTGCTGCTAGGAGCATCGCTTGAATCACCAGGAACCGCCCAGTCCTGTGAGCAGATCTCCAGTCATCATAGACTCCCACCCTGGACTGCAGAGCTTGAGTCATCACAAATCCCCATCTTCAGGAATGGGGCTGAAGTCACTTTAGCTGGAACTCCCCCCCACCCCACCCCAACAAGAGTTCGTGTTATCTGAGTCCCTCCCTCAAAACTGGTGCTTGAGTCAACTCTGAGCACCTCTTCCATCCCCCAAGAAAAATCACTTGTAATTCCCTGTGGATGGAGCCTGAGTCACTACCAGCTTCTAAGAGCAGAGCTCAAGGCAACCTAGGACCCAAAATCAGAGCTCAAGACAGCTGAGACCCACATCCTGTGAGGGGAGCTCAAACCAATGGAAACCTCACTCAAGAGCTCACCTCCAGAGTCCCCACTCCTGAAACAGAAAATAGTGAGTGTGGGGACATATTTTTAAACCAGGATTAGACAAAAGCAGTCCTCTGGGTCTGTTTCTGGGGATCCCCTGATTTTCCCCTCCTTTACATCCTTACAAACATCCTTTAGGCACGGAAGTAATCCCTGTCCTTATAAACAACAGACAGGGAATGAAACCTTGAGTCTAACGGCTGGGCATCACAGAGTTCCTGCTCCAATCTTTGGTTCTGCCTCTCCACCCTGAGATGGTTTTGCAGTAGTGAAGGGAAATCAGCTGCAGGTGTGAGACTCCCTCCTGCAAGGATGCTCTGCTGTACCTGCATAGCTGGGTGTTAATCCTTTGGATGTACAAGAGACCCTGCTGGAGACAGAATGCCCATCACCAATAGAGGTGAGAGATCCTGACCTGGGGCAGGTGAATGCCTGAAGGCCGGCTCCTAATGTGGTGACCTAGTTGCACTTTGGGCCATTTTGACTGCAGTTTCAAAGCTTAGCCGTGGCCTCTTCCTCACAGCAAATGTCAGTAAGGTTGGAAGAAGAAATAGTTCCCTGTGCTGTATGAAGTGACTTTCTGAGCAATGCAATCAAGAAGAGTTGGTCTAAACTGGGGAACGGTGTGTGTGTGTGTGTGTGTTCAGGGCAGGCCCACAGTCATTCGGGGTCTGCCAGGAGTTTTGAAATAGGGGCCTTTGTGCCCTGCACAGGACTGTGAAAACTACACCAACTTTGTGGCACTTCTTCTGAAGATCCCTGTGGAACTGAATCTTCCCTGTGGCTGCAGAGTCAGTGGATACCTATCACTAGCCAGGTGTGCATGGGTTTGTGTGACTGGACTGGTCATTTGTGTGGACAGTGTACATGTGAGGTTTGTGTTCATTGTGCGTGTGTGGTATTGTGTCTTTGTGAGCACTTGTGCCTGTTTGTGTAGTGGGTGCATGCATTGTGCCTTTATGCATGTCTGGGTGTGTATTGTGTGCCTGGGGCAGGTATATCTGGGCAAAGACTGGAGTGTCCAATAATGCATGCGTTTACAGTGTGTTTTCATGTTCAGGGTGTGCATTTGTATGTATGTTTTAAGTCTGCAAGCCCACGTGGTGTCTCCGTGTGGCTGAGCGTACAGCACGTGTTCACAATTGTGTATAAAAGTGTAGTTGTGCATAGGCAGTGTGTGAAGCACACACTGGTACACGCAACTCTCTCTTTCTCTCTCCCACTCCTGCATTAATTTGTTAGCCAGGCAATAAACTCTGCATTGGGGTAGGCTTCTCCGCACCCTGTGCCTGGATTTCTTGCTATTCTGAGAATAGCAACTTTAAGATAAGTGCACCTTCCTTCCTCCCCTCCCCAAATGATGTCTGTCTTCTCCCCCGCATCAGAGCAGAGGGAGGGAAAAGGGAGTGTGGTGGCGCTGGGCAGGGCGAGGGAGCTTGTGCCAGCATTCACCAAGGCTGGTTAGATTGTAAATGGGGTTCTTTGCTCTGAAATGAGCCCTTTGTACTTTGTTGGAATCAGTGACCCAATCAGAAAGGGATGTGGCTGGAGGAGGAGGAGGAGGTAGCGCTGAAGAAGACTGGTACAGCTGACATTAACTCCAGGGCAGGAAGCGAAGGGGAAGATCGTGAATTACCAACTGGTGCAGGAACCTGGGTAATTTCTCTGAATCAGTCCAGGTGCCTCAAAGGGCCTGTCTATATTTCGAGCTTCCTGAGGTCACTGCATGTAGTGGGGGATAGGCGAGCCCCTCTCCACCCCCAGCTTGGCTGGCCCCTCAGCTCATCCCTGGCACTATTCATCCTGCTGACAGGGTGCAGTCTCCAAATGGTTGGGGGCTCAGCAGGGTGCATTTAGCAATGAGAGGGTTAATCTGAAGTCAGGGAATATGGGGGTGGGGGCGTGTGCAATGCAGCTAGCTATGCAGGTGTGTGCTAAATGTTTTCCATCCGGCATTCACTTTGGAGGCGGGTGGCACTGACAGAACCATTCAGCATGGGGTGGGGAAGGAGTCCCCCTCCGATGGGACCAGCAGGCAGTGCTGAGGAACACTGACAGAACGGCATGGAGGGGTTACAATGGAATCATGGGCAGCGTTCCAGTTTAGGGTTGTGGTGCATTGACAGAGAGCGGCGTGAGAGTGCCTGTAGGAGGAGGTGCTGCACGCCGGGATTGTGGTGCATTGGCAGAGCTGTGTAGCAGCTCAGGACCAGAAGAGTAGTGGTCGATAGAGCTGTGACGGGCCCCCTCCCTATGGCAGAAGGAGATGGGGTTGTGTTGCAATTGTGGTGTAGTGATGCATTCCCTGAGAAAATAGAACTGGATTTCTGCCCCCGCCCATTGGACTCTGGCTGCATCTCTCCGGAAGCAGGACCTTTACTCCACAGATTTCACCAGACTCCCTGATACCACTTTGCAATGCTAACCCTTGTTTCCCTCAAGCCTTTCCTGAGAGCAACAGGTGCCTCTTTGGCTGCAACCCCCACCCCTCTGCCCTGAAGCAAAGGGGATAATTTTGCCCAGACACTTGCCCAATTGAGTACCCTCCCAGGAGGAGGCACAGCACTCTAGTCCTGGCTTTTCTGTTGCTATCTCCCCACTAAAATATATAGCCTTGGGCAGGCAGAGGAAATCAGCATGAGGAGAATCAGTTTCCCTGTGGGTGGAGAGGGGTTTGTTTTATCTGGGTAATGCACTAAACAGCCACCACACCCCAGGGTGGGATCAGCCACTGATGCAGGACTTCCTGCTGAGGGAGCTGACTCTGCACACAAGGACGCTCACCTTCTGTGATCAGCAGTATGGGGAGCCCAATTAACCAGTTGCTTTCTTCCTTGGCTGGCTCTGGGCTAAGAGGTACCCCACCATGTATCTGTCTGCCTAGGATCTTCTCTGATACCCATCACTGTGGTATCTGAGCACCTTACTTCTTTCTACAGCAGCCCCCCTGCCCCAACCTGGAAGGACAGTGCTTGTCATACTAGCTTTGGTTGGAGGTGGGGAGGGGTGACTGTCCAGGAGGAAAAGGTGATTGGGGAAGCACCCAGGTGTCCTTTGTAATAATCATCACAATACTTTGCACTTCTGTGGCAAGTTTCACCTCATGATCTCAAAGGGCTGTACAAGCATTAACTAGTTTAGCCTCAATTACTAAGCTACTCACCTGCCTCTGATTAATTAAGGTAAATAAGTCCTGTGAGACAGTTTTGTTATCCCTATTTTACAACAGAGGAAACTGAGGCACAAAGTTAGTGACTTGCCTAAAGTCTCTCACAGGTAGTGTTGGTAGCAGAGTGAGGAATAAAACTCACTGGTCCTGACTGCTTCCTCATGAATGGTTTCATCAGTGTCCCAGAGGATATTTGCAGGATCGGTGCTGCTGTGTTGATTCTGAACTGTTTTGCCAGATTGAGATTCCATACACCTCCCCTCCCCATGGCCTGCCCTCACCTATCACCAGATCCGTTCCCCCATATTGGCTTCCCCATCAGTGCTATTTTTTCGAAGTATGTAAATCCCTACAGGCTAGGCCAGGACTAGAGGGGTTGGAATCAGAACCCTGAATGTATTTGGGGCTGCGGTGTAACTTTAATTAGACTTTTTCTTTTCATAATGCCAGTTTTGTAAACCTCAGCAAGAACATTTGAGATGCACAGAGCAAAAATGCAAATTAGACATGCTTCAGAAACCTTCTTGCTTCTGTGAAACCTGTGATCTATGCAGACACTTGTTGTGCTGACTCTGGCCACATTCTGATATCTTGTTGTGGCATTAAAGATATTGGAATTGAGCTGCAAGCGAGAGGGACAGCAGGCCTGAGAGAGAAGAATGAAAAGGAGACCCTCCTTTGGATGCTGGTCCCTTTGAGCGAGGAGCCAAAGGTATGCTGCATAGTTCGAGGCAGAAGAGAGGGTTAGGGCAGTGCTTTTTGTTTCTCTCCCACCACCGGCAACAGTGAGGCATTCAGCTGGGCAGCAGGTGAGAGGAAGTAGTTCATAGAGACTGAGTATTTTGGGGTGGAGGAATCTTGGATCCTCTGCGACTTTGGGTTCCAGGAAGGGCAGTTCTTTGGCGGGAGGCTGAGCATAGCATTTGTGGTAATCACAGCGGGCTTGGTGCTGCACAGAGTAAGAGGAGACCCAGATCCTGCCCTCCAGGAGCTCACCGTGGGAAAGAATGAAAACATTGAGGGTGTCAGGCATCTCATCCTTCCCTTTTAGGATAAGCCTTGATACCCTGTGTGCCTTGAAGGGAACATTATGAATCATCTTGGTTATTTAATGACCCTATTGCTTGAGAGAATATTTCCTTGTCCCTGCCCAACATTTCCCCATGATGTATGCATTTCTGTAGGTGGAGGTTTGCTGCGGGGAGGGGAGTAGAAGATACACCTCCTGCCTTCAGACAGTCCTCCCCACTCTCTCCCTCTCTGCATGCTGCTCTGCCTCTCCCATTTCCTTCTGGGTCCCTACTCCATTGCCTCCAGTGTGAATATGCCCAGCTGACCCCTTCATTTTCCAATTTCCTCCTCCGTGCACCAGGCCCAAACAAACTGGGACCTCCTGCTAGCTCTCCTACTGTTCAGTGCAGGTTTGCAGATAAGGAAAAGAGATGCCATCATATCTGGGCTCCAAAGAGACGCTATCTGCTCCCTAAACCCCAGGTGTTAATATTGAGATTCTCTGAACATTTTGGGGATGGGGAGAAGTTTGCCACCTCTGCCATCCTCCTGCTGTTTGCTGCATGTATGACTGCAGATTTGTCTGTGCATGCTCAGATACATACTATCTATACACAGAAGTGAATCCTTGTCTAACAGCAGTTTCTGAAGCTATGAGTGACCGCACCTGCATTCAGCACGGCCCGGGGAATGATGGGATTGCTTTTGCATAATTTAACAGCCTTCTGAATAATTCGTAGTGCAATTGTGCTATGGAACAGTCTTCTAGTTTCCTGTAAATGCTGGACGTAGCTTCCATCCTGCACAGGAAATTATTGCTCAGTGATGAGGCAGCAACGTGGCTTTTTTCTCTGACTGTGCTTGTATTCCTATCTGTCTCTGCAGCAGCGAAAACATTGAAAGAACTCTCCAGCAGAGCTCATCCAGGACTCCTATCCTAGCTCAGGCATGCTGTGCTGCAAAGCATTCTGGGGACAAGGGATGGGGTGGGAGCTGTGTATATGTAATAGCAGAACAAGATGAAGCTTGGGATAGAATATATAGACTAAATTCCCTTCTTACCCCTAGCAGAGGGATGTTGCCCTAGGCCAGATTTGGGGTCCAATTGTGGGGGGAAGCAAGAGTGGCTATCTTAAAAATTCTGATTGCTAGTCCAAGGCCAGGGTATGAATAAGTTCACCATCCTGAAAGCAGTTGCTGGCCCACCAGAGTGTTTCCTG